TAGATAGATAGATAGATAGATAGATAGATAGATATTGCACATACTGGGATCTGCTGGAGCCAATCGGCAAGCTTGGGAGTCACTGCACCTAGCGCTCCGAGGACCACTGTTACCCTCACCCTTTTTTATATATATGTGTGTTTGTATGCTTGTATAAAAATTTGTATATACAAGCATATAAACACATGCATGTGTGTGTGTATATATAGATGTTTTGTAATCTTTTTATCTCATTTATTTTACCAACACTTGGTGTCTTTTAAAAGTGCTATAGAAATAAAGCTGACTTGACTTGACTTCTTTCAGTACAGGCTAATGTCCTAATCAAAATGCTTCCAAACCACAGCGATTCAATATATGTTGTCTGTTTCACTTCTTAGCTTGTAAGTTCACCACATTTGGACGCAGAGAGAGTTTGGTCTGCAGCCCTGGTGAATTGTGAGTGGCTGATAATTCCTAGACCCGGGGAGGAGTATTTCTAGTCAACTCATGAAGGAAGAAACCTTTCATTTCTGATCTCTACCGCATAGATACTTGTTTGTATGGTAAAGAAAAAAACTATTCTGTTTGCTGCTTCACTAGGGATGGGTATTGATAAGATTTTCACGATTCCGATTCCATTTTCGATTCTGTTTAACGATTCGATTCTTTATCGATTCTCTTATCGATTCTTTTTAAAAAAGGAGAACACTAAGGTCGATTAGCATAGAACTTTGTTTTATATCTTCTCTTTGAACAAGATAGAAATTTAGGAGTAACATGGCCTTACAAACCCAGCAGTGAGATCTTAAGAGATCCAGCCTACGGCTCTTCAATGTGGTGTCACAGGGACCCCGGGGAAAAAATTTGTAAATGTAAAATAATAAAATAAATATTCTTCTGTAGCAATAACAAAGTATAACATAAATTATTCAGTAGCAATTACACAAGAATATCCAGTAATGTCCCTGCCTACAATTAAACACATTCACTTACCGAAAATCGGGGGCACCTGCTGTGGCAAATGGGTTCAAGCCTTTGACCACAAACTTAGTCACTGCTCGGTAACATTAGTCTATCCTGGCTTGAAAGGAGACGCTACCGGTAGACTGCAGCGAGAACTGCCAGCGAGCGCCAGTCAGACTCTGTGTGTCTCTCTCATCATGGTCACCTAAACGCACAGTAATGGCAGTAATGGCAGATAAGGCAGATTGCGCTAACATAATATGCACTGTTAGTTGATTATTTACCTGCCGCATTAACGGGAGAGGACGTGCAAATGTTCCCGCTGCTGCTGGGTTGAGATTCACGAGTCCGGAGCGGAATTAAAAACACGACATTCATTTAAGGTCATCGTGTGTTTTGTGAGCAAATGCTTTTGCATATTCGTAGTGTTTCCTCCCTTAAATGAAATATCTACTTTGCAAGTATTGCAAGTTGCCCTGTTGTCTTCCGTTCTTGTAAAGTATAACCAAACTTTTTAGCGTTTTAGCAGCCATGTTTCCTGCCAGGTAAATGACGCTCCGCAACGTGGTGACGTCATTCGGGGCGACTGGAATCGATAAGGGAATCGTTTGCAAAAATGGCAAACAATTCCAAGGAATTGAAACAGTGGGAACCGGTTCTCAACAAGAACCGGTTTTCAATACCCATCCCTATGCTTCACATTACCTTGTTGCCTCAGTCAGCTTTTCACTGAGAGTATGTATGCATATGTGCCTGTGTCCATGCATATGTGTGCTTAACTTTACATGCTGGTAACATCTTTCTATAGATCCATAAAGGTTTTATGACCAGCAGGCTTGCCAGCAGGACTGTTTCTCTGAGTTACATGTTAACCTATAGCTGTGTATTAGCAAGGTCAGACAAAGCAACATTATCTCTCTTTCCAGTAGAAGTTGCTGGTTGCCGTTTGCCATGTATTTCAAGGCTAATTAGCCTGTAATAAAAAGCTAATGACAGGGTGTTTAGAGCTGACAGTAAGTGGGACTTCTCTCAAGAGAATGATGCTATTTTTTTGTGTGGCTGATGTGGTGTGTGTGGCAGACATTTAGCTGACACAAGCTTGTGGGATTTGCTGGTATAGTAACAACATAGCAATTATGCAGCAGAATGATGAAAAATTATTTTAAGCTCGCATTGTTTACAGTGTTAATAAGAAGATCTGAAGAGATGGAAAGTTTGATGAATAATTATCATTTTGAAACTTTTATATCCTCAGAAACCACATCTGTCCAACAATGACAAAATAATATCAAATACAGCTCAGAACTGTCAACTGTTTACATTTTTCAGCAGATGGAGTCTAATATTAAGCTTAATGCTTAATGTTGTGTACTGTTGAATGAAAAAAGGTACTAAAGTTTTTTCTTACTTCTTTTAATTAGACAAAACTGGCATTTTGAGGTGCCCAATTCTTACAGAGGGATATTTGCAGCATTTGAATTAATATAGGCATAATATAGTATATGTTATAATTATCAGAATACAGAACTCATAACATGCAAGGGTTAAACCTTTACTACAGAGCTCGTTGTCCACCTGCCCATCTGCAGCTCACTCTGCAAAGGAGCTGCACCCAGCTACATTGGAGGACTTTTTAAGCATGAACTGTCTTTTTAAGGTCATGCCAGGGCATCTCAGCTAGATTCAGGTCAGGACTTTGACTAGGCTACTGCAAAGTTTTTGTTTTCTTTCTCTTAATCCATTCAGAGGTGGACTTGCTGGTGTGTTTTGGATTGTTGTTCTTCTGCAGAACCCAATTGTGCTTCTGTTTGGGGTCATAAACAGATGGGCAGACATTCTCTTTCAGGATGTTTTGATAGACAGCAGAATTCATGGTACTATTTACCACAGCAAGTCGTCTAGGTCCTGAGGCAGCAAAACGGCCGCAGACCATCACATGTATTTTACTGTTGAAATAACGTTCGCTTTCTGAGAGCTGCGTTATTTTACACCAAATATTATTAGGGGTTCATCGAGATGTTTTCTGGCAAAACTGAGAGGAGCCTCTATGTTCTTTTTGCTCAGCAGTGGTTTTCGTCTTGGAACACTGCCATGCAGGTCATTTTTGCCCAGTCTCTTTCTTATGGTGGAATCATGAACACTAAGGCAAGTGAGGCCTGCAGTTCTTTGGTTGTTGTTCTGTGGTCTTTTGTGACCTCTTGGACCAAAAATATCCCAGGAGCTGTGGTCTTGGGGTAAATTTGGTCGGCTGGCCACTCCTGGGAAGTTTCACCACTGTTCCATGTTTTCGCCATTTGTGGATAATACTGTGGTCTGCTGGAGTCCCTCAGCTTTAGAAATGGCTTTATAACATTTTCCACACTGAGAGATCTCAATAATTTTGTTTCTCATTTGTTCATGAATTTCTTGGATCACAGCATGATGTCTGGCTTTTGAGAACCTTTTGGTCTACTCGACTTTGTCAGGCAGGTCTTATTTACGGTATTTCTTGATTGAGAACAGGTGTGGCAGTAATCAGGCCTGGGTGTGGCTAGAGAAATTGTACTCAGCTTTCCAAAGATGTGATACATCACAGTTAATTTATGTTGTAAAGTAAAGAAATTACAGTAATACAAACAAAACAGAGAAAACCCTAACAATCATGAGCCAGTATTTTGGCGACGGTGGCAAGGTTTCTTCCTTCTAACAGAAAAAACGTCCAGATAAACCAGGTTGGAAGACAGGACAAAAACAGGCTGCAGAAGACCGCCAGCGATTAATAATAACTAATCAATAAATGCAGAATGAGTGTTTCTTCTTCACTCATCTTTTTTCAGTCCGTTATACCTCTGTTAGTTACACTTCTAGCAATTTTTCAGCTTCCACTGCTTTGTCATTTGCCATTGCTCCTTTTGCGAGCGGCAGCTGTCTGCTATAAATTTTGGCAGAACCATGCCTTTCAGGAAATGTATTGAGACAGCAATAAACCTAAAGTTGTGAACTGGTGTCAGATGTTGCAATGACAGAATCCCTTAAATTGTTTCTACTCCAAGTACAAATAGGGAAAAACAACCATTTGTATGTATTATTACTGTATTAGCTAAGATACGTAGTGACTCTGCCAAAAGTGAACAAAAACAGATTGGAAGGGTTATTTCAGTACTGAGGCATAATTAGTGTGCCTCAGTTGACAGTTTAATAATGTCAGAGAAAAAGAAGAAAAAGTGATATTTTCTGCATTTCTCTTAGGATTATCGTCACATTTTTCACTCACGAATGACTACTGAATTTTATTTAAATGCGCGCTCAGGTTTCAATTTGTATTGTTTCAATTTGGGGGCACTGCTGCCAAGCGAAATAGGTTTACTTTCAACAGAAAGTAAATACTCTTTCAGAAGACTCGGAAACCATCTGCCTTTCCACTCCATCTCTTTATCCCTTGTGGAGAAAGTGCTTAGTCACCAAAATGCAGACTATTGTGGTAGTCTTACAGCTACAGCATGGCTTTTACTGGAAAAGGTTTCAGGCCAAAAGTGCAGATTGGCACATACTTGTGGCTGCTTACTTACAGAACACAGCACTTTCTTTTTTAATAAAAGAGAGAACACTTTGAAAAAAGTAGCTACTTTGCATTTGAAACCACATCTGGCTTACTTTTGGTGATATTACATGGTTTTGAAATATAGTACTGCAATTTTCAAGTAATTTAGAAAATGGGTTATGATAGGGTCAAAGTATAGTAGCAATTTGTCTCTGCAGTTATGTTCTATAGTATGTTGATGATGATACAATTCTTCCTAACCATATAATTGTTTTGTTCCTTGACAAACAACCACAGCTTTTTTTTTTTCTAAAAGTAGCAGTTGTCGGTATCCACATACTGCACAAGGATGATGTAAGTTTCATTATGGCTGCCAAGTAACTGCACTCAGCTCGGTCATCTCTTTCACCATCTCTACTCCTCTAATGGTTAACTATGGCTATTAACTATGGTTAATTGGCAGAGACTGTGAATGAAAAGAATCCCCCCTCCTGTTGCTGACGTTTCTCTCTATGTCTCTGCCTTTCTTTTTCTAGACTGCTTCAGCATGGAGTTATGATGGAATGGATATGAATATGAGCCAGTGGGAAGGCATTCGAGCCCCTCATCTCCGCCTGGCCTTGCTGCTGCTGTTGGTATTCTTGAAGTCACCACTCTGCAACAGTCAGAACACCCATGGGGCTCCTCAAGATGAATCTCACTTCAGCTTCACTCAGCCTGTCTACCATGCCACAATTTATGAAAACTCAGCAGCACGCACCTATGCCAACAGTAAAATTAAAATGGGCATCCACCTCGCCCAGCACTCCTGGGAGATCCGCTACAGAATCACCTCAGGTGACGATGACGGTTTTTTCAAGGCAGAGGAGTATGTACTCGGAGACTTCTGTTTCTTACGCATAAGGACTAAAGGTGGTAATGCCGCCATATTGAACCGAGAGATTCAGGATAATTATGTATTGACAGTGAAAGCTTCTGTCAAGGGAGAGGCTCTTCTTGAGACCTGGACTAAAGTCAGTATTCAGGTTTTGGATATGAATGACCTCCGGCCCTTGTTCTCTCCTACCACATACTCCGTCACCATAGCAGAGAGTACCCCTCTCAGAACTAGTATAGCACAAGTTACTGCCACAGATGCGGATATCGGTTCCAATGGAGAGTTTTACTATTTTTTCAAGGAAAAAACTGAACTGTTTGCTGTACACCCAACTAGTGGAGTGGTTACTCTCAGTGGAAGGCTTAATGTCGATGAGCAGAACCGTTATGACTTAGAAATTCTAGCGGTGGACCGTGGCATGAAGCTTTATGGAAATAATGGTATCAGCAGCACAGCCAAACTTTTTGTCCATGTAGAGCGTTTAAATGAACATGCTCCACTCATGAATGTCCTCACCCACAGCCCCTCATGGCTGGATAAAAATCTTGTGTATGCAGTGGTTACTGTTGAGGACCAAGATGAAGGCTTAAATGGAGAAATAGATTCCTTGGTCATTGTAGGAGGAGATCCGTCAGAGCAGTTTTTTGTTGACAGAACTAAAGAAGGAGAGTTTGCTATTAAAGCCTTTGAGTCAATAAGTCAAACGTACCCTTATGGCTGTAATCTTAGCTTGCAGGCTAAAGACAGGGGCACCCCACAGAAGTTATCTGCTGTTGAAGTCATCCAAATCAAGGTCGAAAAACATCAAAATTCAGATGCTAAATTTATGCAAGAGTTGTATGATGTCAGTTTAAATGAAATTTCACCTCCAGGTACACTTGTAGTGGCTGTTAAAATCACACCAGAACCTGATGATGCAGAATATATCTTAACAACCTCTGCGGATTCATCCTTTTTTCAAATGAATACCCTAACGGGTGTAATCTCTACTGCTCGCTGGTTCACTCAGGTGTTCCAGGATGTCTTTAATCTTGAAGTAGTGGAAATGGATAGTAATCTCAAAGTTAAAGTGAGGGTAACCATTGAGGATGCCAATGATCACACACCAACATTTGCTCAGTCCTCTTATGAGGTTTTTGTTAATGAAAGTGTACCAGTTGCAACCAGTGTATTAACAATTTCTGCAGTTGATAAAGATAAAGGTGAAAATGGATACATAACTTACAGCATTTCCAGTCTTCAGCCATTACCCTTTAAAATCAATCAGTTTTCTGGTGTTATAAGCACTACTGAAGAGCTGGATTTTGAATCCTCATCAGAAAGCTTTATGTTCATAGTCAGAGCATCTGACTGGGGGTCTCCTTACAGACGAGAAAGTGAAGTCAATGTAACAATCCATCTAGAAAATGTAAATGATAATCAGCCATTGTTTGAGAAGGTAGCATGCCAGGGGATTATTCCTGAGGATTTTCCAGTAAATGAAGTTATTACTACAATGTCTGCAATTGATATAGATGAATTAGAGTTAGTGAAATATAAGATTATTTCAGGTAACGAACAGGGGTACTTTGACCTCAACCCAGATTCAGGGGTTCTTGCACTGCAGCATTCTCTCTCAAGAGCCCATCCAAAGAGTGGTTTATTTAGTTTAAAAATAACTGCCACTGATGGTGAGAGCTTTTCGGATCCTATGTTTGTCAATATCTCAGTTGTTTATGGAAAATCTTCTTCCAAACGTTTCACATGTAAAGAAACAAATGTGGCTCAAAAATTAGCTGAAAAGTTACTGAAAAAGTCCAAAGCTAGCAATAAACCTAAAATTGAGGAAGGTTTTATTGACCTTTTTTCTGTGAATCGGCAGACACCCCAGTTTGACAAAACATTTCCCACAGATATTACTGTGCAGGAAGACCTTAAGGTAGGCTCAAGTGTTTTCAATGTGAATGCCTATGATGGGGACACAGGTTTCAATGGTCAAATTCTATACTCTATTTCAGATGGAAATATTGATAACTGTTTTACCATTGACATACAGACGGGACTTATCAGTGTGTTCCTACACATGGACAGAGAAAAAAGAGATCGCTATCTCCTCAACTTAACTCTCTATGACCTTGGCCTTCCACAGAAAAGTTCCTGGCGGTTGCTTACTGTCTATATAGAAGATGCAAATGATAATGCACCCCAATTTTTGCAAGAAGGAGGCTTTAGAATTGTCATACCTGAAAACCTAGCCATAGGTACTGACGTCATCCAGGTTGAGGCCATTGACAAAGATCTTGGGCCCAATGGCGAGATTGTATACTCTCTTTTGACAAGCACCACTCAGTTTGGTATCAATTCCACTAGTGGGATATTATATGTTGCTGGCCAACTAGACAGGGAGTTTGTCTCTACGTTTAACCTAAAAATTGAGGCTCGGGACAAAGCGGAGAAAGGAAGCCAGAAGTTTTCTGTAACCACACTGAAAATCATTTTGGAGGATGTAAATGACTGTCCTCCACTATTTATCCCTGCTGTGTACAGAACCAGGGTTCTGGAGGATCTCCCAGTAGGAACAGTTGTAGCCTGGTTAGAAACTCTGGATCCAGATTTGGGGTTGGGAGGCCAGGTTCGGTACTCCCTAGCCAGTGATTATAATGGATGGTTTGAAGTAGACAGGGCAAATGGAGTTATTCGACTCACAAAGGAGCTGGACTATGAGACACAGCAGTTCTACAACCTTACTGTAAAGGCCAAAGACAAAGGAAGGCCTGTTTCTCTTCTTTCTGTTACCTTTGTGGAGGTGGAGGTTGTAGATGTGAATGAAAACCTCTATGCCCCATACTTTTCTGATTTTGCTTTGACTGGATTAGTTAAAGAAAATGCCCGGATTGGAACCACTCTACTCCAGGTCACAGCTAATGATGATGATGCTGGCAGAGATGGAGAAGTTCAGTACTCCATTCGAGATGGGAGTGGGCTTGGAAGATTTGCCATAGATGAAGAGACAGGTGAGTTTTCTTTGAAAATGATATTGCGTGTCATGCTTTTAGTCATGGCAAATGAGAATTATTGCATAACAGTTTGAATTATGGTTTTAAAACACTATATGGTTGTATAAAATTGTCTAGTGTTGTAACGTTCTTGTTACTGAAGTGTATTGTTTTAACTAAAATAAACAAAGAAGTCAATACAGCGTGAGTTGGGGAACACAGTAACCTACCGTGCTTTTTCAGATATAAAATCTGCACAAATTGGCTGTTTAGTTATTTTCGCATTATTGTTAATACTCTAACTGCAGCTTTTAGAACACCCAGATAATAATTTATTAAAATAGTCCCCGCTATAAGTAATGAATATGGAACATGGAATATGAAGATATTGTGCAATAAAAGATAGCCGGACCAGGACACAATGACAAAAAGTGGACTATCCATCCATCCATCCATTCGCTACCGCTTATCCTTTTCAGGGTCGCGGGGGG